TGATGGGATACCAAGATTAGTTTAGCCCTCCCACCTCCCAGGCTCCTGGAGCAGGGGGTGGACTCCTGGAAAAAAAATAGGGCACTCACAAAGAAAGCAGAAGAGAGTACTTAATGGAAATCAACAATGTCTGCCACACAGGTAATTATTGTTATCTCTATTTTACAGATGGGAAAACTGAGGCTGAGAGATACAGTAATGACTTAAAGTCACAGTAAGAGGTCAAGTTAGGATTTGAACCCAGAATTGCTTGACTCTAAAGCCCTGGTTCTTTCTCCTATCTGCTTGTGGATAGGAAAGATTGGTATATCCATATCTACCTCAAATTCTTGCTGGAACAAGGGCGGGTATAAATAATATACACATACACTCAACATACTATTTTACTGCCAATAAAATGATAAGAATTTACATTCAGGTATGTTCGATTGACTAGCATGTATTTTGAGCCTTCTAGGTGACATTGGGATAGAAAGGTAAGCCCTAGCCTTGAACTTCAGTGTGTCCCCAGTGAGGGAGTGGTGTGAACACATAACCACAGCTCTTTGTGATACATGCAGACTGCCATGGAAGTATAGATCTGGGCAATGCTGGAGAGCAGCTTCACAGGAAAGGCAAAAACTGAGTTGGGTTTTGAAAGATGCATAGAAGTTTGCTCAGAGAAGAAGAGGAGGGAAACATTCTTTCTAGGCAGAGAAAAGAGCCCTGCAAAGGCGTGGGCTAGAAAGTTCATGTTGCGTTCGAGGAACAAAGAGGGATTTAATGTGGTCAGAAAGGAATTGAGGGGCAGGAAGAGGCAGAAAGCGGGGTTGGAGGCAGTTTCGCAGGGGCCTTGTGTTCCAAGCTAAGGAGTTTGTCTTGATTGTGTTAGGCGCCTGGAAGATTTTTAAGCAGGAAAGTAAAGTGATCAGATTTGAATGATTCTGAAGCCTTGGAACACAAATGAACCCAAATGAATGTGAGTGGAGGATGGAGGAGGGAAGATAAGGTAGTCAGACTCACATGCATGCTCCAGATGTGTGGACTCCAGCACGAGTTAAGAGATGTCACCAAGAAGGAATGAGAAGTTGTTCTCCCCAGCATCAGCAGCGTGTCCAGCTGCACTTGGGGCCGATGTGCCTGTCCAGGGACATGTGGGACCTTGCAAGGGTTCGAGAAGACCCACAAAGACTATGAACAACTTGATTTATGTATCCATACTGAGCAAACACGCTGACTCTGAGACTATTATTGAAAGGTAACATCTTTTGAGGCTTGCTATAACCTAGATGCTGCTAAGTACTCCTTATGCATTATCTTATTTAATTCTTACAATCTTATAAGGAAGGTTGAGGCTAAATTATGTGAAATTGCCAATATTTGATGTGTTTAATTTATGAAACAGATGAGGAAGCCTGGCAGGTCACACAATCACATGTAGCAGACTCAGGATTCCAACTCAGGTCTGTCTGATGAGGAGTCGAGAGTAAGGCGACCCTGAGTTCTAACTGTGGCCACCACTTATTAGCTATGTGCCCTGGGACAAGTTACTTAACCTCTCTGAGGTTCTGTTTCTTCATCTATATAATGGGATAATAACTGAACCCCCCTCATTAGGTGTGGATTAGAAGAGAGAACGCCATAAAACACAGCACAATGCCAGACACAGGAGAGATGCCTGATGAATGTTAGCTGTGCCTACTATCACTGTTGCTAGTAATATTCCAAAGTCTGGGCTGTGCAGCACCTTCCCAACCTGCGGGCGGTGGGGGTGTCTTCTGGAGTCAGTGTATCACCTGGGCGGAAAGGAAAGATTTTACTGCAGGAACCATGACGGTGTTACGGGTAAACGGTCTTCAAACTCACGGAGTGAGGAGAGCTGGGAGCAGTGTCCTCTACTTTCCAGCACTACGGGCCCTGCTCGTTCCTTCCTCTCCTGAGGTCTCTGGGTCCTGGAGGCCACGGGGGGTTGATGCAGGAGGAAGCGCCTTCGCATCGGGGAGTGGCTGGGGCAGCTCTGCCCTCACTCAGGGCAGCCTTCCTATGGAGCTATTTCTGCCTCCTTTTCCTGTGAACCAGCCTGAACGGAGTGTATTTTCAGGAAACCCCGGCTGCCTTTGCTTTCAAGAGCCACATCTTTCAGTGAGGGATCCTGTGGGTCCCCATCACTCTTGGGCCTCACATACACGCTTTTGGGTTTTGTGCACAGATGTTTCTTTTTTTTTTTTTTTTTTCTGGTGAGAAAGATTAGCCCTGAGCTAACATCTCTTGCCAATCTTTCTCTTTTTGCTGAGGAAGACCGGCCCTGAGCTAACATCTGTGCCCATCTTCCTCTGTTTTATATGTGGGACGCTGCCACAGCATGGCTTGATAAGCAGTGTATAGGTCCGCGCCTGGGATCTGAACTTACAAACCCCAGGCTGCTGAAGCGGAGCAGGCGACCTTAACCACTACGCCACCGGGCCAGCCCCAGATGTTTCTGATCCCTGCGTGCATACATCTGCGTGTTCCTGGGCCCAAGTGGAGCTGGGCTGGCATGGGCCGGGGGTTGGCAGCCACAGCCCCAGGACAACTTTTGCTCATTATATTCCACACCTGGGTGGGGCTCCTGCCTGCTGGGTGAGGACCGACTCCCTGCACTTCTCCCTCTAAATCTTGAAGTATGCTTTAGGCAGAAATTACAAGTGTGGCTAATTTGAGAATGAAGTTCAAACCCCGGCCCCAGCTGTTCTCAGCACATCTCCCGGAGACAGGGTGCTTGGGTGCGCAGACTGACATCGAGGCAGCTGCGATAATAAAGGGCTGAAAGAGGTCTAGAACAGGCAGGCCGGCAAAACCACACCTTCACTTCAGCACTTTTACATGCGCACAGATCTTTCCGGCACCGTCTGCCCTTTTGCTTGGCTGGACTCTTGCACAAGACCTGGCTGCCCCTAGCTCAGTCTCTCTGAAAAACATGTTCAGCCCCCTCCAGAGAAACTCAAAACACAGACACTCCTTATGCATTTTCCTGGAAGCATTCTATAGCTCCAGCCTGGGAAAGCATCCAAAAGTTTTCCGAACCAAAGATAATAATAATAATAAAAAAGAGAGAGAGAGAGAGAGAGAGATGGGGGAGGAGAGAAGATTGGGGCAACGCTGCTGCTGATTAATGTTCAAGGGAACAGACTTGGATTGTAGGGAATGGAAAAAGGAAGGGTTTTCCAGGTCAATTTAAACATTTGTGCTGTTTTCTTTAAAGGCAGTTTCAAAATAGTTGGCCTCCCCAAAGCAATTTTTTGGAATTTACCCAGAGGGCAAAGCTTACCCTTCCTTCCCCCATCTGGAAAGTTTTCACACCAGAGGCCCCACTCATTCCTGAGCTCTGGCTTTAGAAAGAAGGACTTTCCTAACCTTCCAAGATTCCTTGCCCTCCCTCACCCTGCTGACCCATAAGGACTTGTTTGCTCCACCCTGCAGCAGCTGCATTCCAGCTGTGGCGCTCTTGGGAAACATTTAGGAATCTTCTGGCTGGAAAGGTAAATGAGGAATGTGTCCTAATGACAACTGAATGCTGGCAAAAACCTGCAGACAGAGAAGCACAAGGAACAATTCCTGACTTAGGGTTCCCTTTACAATTGTCCTCTGCGGAAGAGCCAGCTGTTCGAGGACGGAGACAGTTTTTAGTGGTCTTAGCAATAAAAGTGCTGACGAGCCTGACCCCCTGCTGTGAAATGCAAGAAACGTAATTCGAACGTATTTTCGAAGATTCAGAAATAGTTTTACTTACTCATGAGCTCTCATCTTTTTAATTAAAGCACAACATCTTGCTCAAAACAAGCTTTGGAACAACAGAGGCAACAGAACCTTAATTTAGGAATTTGCTAACTGATCTTGACGACTGTGGGCAGGTTATGGCAGCAGTGGAGAGGCAGACAACCGGGTGAAGGTCTCCTAGGCAGTTCCCTGTGCTTCCAAAGATGGTGTCTTTGCCTGAGGATTCAGGTGGAGAGGGGGGCCTCAGAGACCGACGAGGACCCTTTAAATACATAGAAGTTGGCCAGACAGGGCAGGCCTGAGCAAATGGCTTTTTAGGCAGCTGAAGCCCTCAGCAGCTGTCAGAACAACTGCCACCAAGCCATCCTGGTGGCCGGGAAGGCTGCAGCATGAACTGGGGCCTTTCCCCTCAGTCTCTTCGCCATCATATTATCTTCTGGGACTGCACTGTAGACCCTCGGGTTAATGATAGCCCATCTCACTACCTGGTTTTAGAACAGCTGGCAGCAGCTGCCCAGCTACACGCTATCTTAACCAAGCCTCTTAATTTCCTGGCTCTTGAGATTCTGTGCCTTTTCACTGGCATCATCAGCCACCCAGCCAGACAGCAACAATTAGCCGCCATGGGAATGCTTTGAGAAGCCAGTATCCAGGGTGAGGAACTCTATGAAGTTCTCATGGATTCCTGATGCTGAAAGCAGATACGGAAATTTAGTAGGAGAGCTGGTGGCCTGTGTCCCAGGGGGCCACCCAGCTATTGTGAAAGCTCCCCTCTCCCCACTTCTTCCTGCTCCTGCTGTCCGACTTCAAACACTCCCTGCCACCCACCTTTTAACACCTTCAGGGCCACTTCACCACCACCCCCCCATTGGCCTCACCGCCCACTCCTCATCCAGGTCCTTTCAGGGTGCAGCCTACACTGTTGTCATAGAGAGTGCCCCCCCACAGCTCTGGCCCCCTGTACCTTTGGGGGCTTTGAGACCCTAGAAGGAAAGCACCAGGAAACCCCAAAGCGTTCTCCCTCCTGAAAACAATGGCTTCCAGGGTCTGTGCCAGACACACTCATAGCACCCGAAATAGATTCATTGTCCTCTTGTGCAATATCCAGGAATTTGGTGAAACATCATTTTTCAGGTTACCGATAATGCAAGTTTGGAAACTGAAACAGGAAGGAATGCAGGCTGAAAAAGCTTTTACCCAGCCCACAGCATTTCTCTCTCCAGATGCAAGATAGTTTTTTTTGTTGCTTTTTGGTTTTTTTCCAGCAGTCCTTTGGTGGGGTTAAAATTAGCTGGCAGCATTCTGGTCACATGCTAGACAGCAAAACAAAAGGGAGTTGTTACCCAGCCGCTCCCGCAGCAGCCCCAGCAGACCTTCCTAATCCATGGGCTTCTGGGAAGCTGGATCCTCAGGTCCTGGTACAGAGGGGCCGCACCAGCAACGCCCCTCTGTTGTCATCCTGCTGTAACAGGGCAGAAGGCGGGCAGGGTCTAGGCTGTTTGGAACCTCGGGGCTTGTCTCCATCTGGGAAGACATTCAAGGGTCCCAAAATGGCTTTTGCAAATCTTCCCATTTGGCTGAAAAAAGGAAGAACTTTTGAAGCCAACAAATAAGTAAACAGCACAAGGACATTGAGAGCGAGAGACAGAGAGAGAGAAAGGGTAGTGTCTGAGATGTGAACGTGGGCATCGCCTTCTGGGGGAATGGGCTGCTCTTGGCATGGTTAACATATAAAAATCATCCATCAGAACTATATGCTGCAAGCTCTTGGGAGAGATTCTTTATCTCTGGACCCTCATGATTGGGGTTCATCATGATCTGCTTTGTTCTTCCAGCTTAAAACTGTCACCAGAAGCCCTGGATTAAAAATGCAGCCTCTGATTCATGCACACAGTCAGGAAACATCCCTTGTGCTCAGTACAGAAACATGTCGGTCAACCTGGGAAAGGAATCACCACGATGAAATATGCTTTTGGCTTGCCAAAGCTTAGCAGCTGTGAGAGCCAAAACCCCAGCTGCCTGGATTGTCTGGGGAAGGTGGGGGCTGGGGTAGGGGTGGGGGAAGAAAGAGGAGCTTTCTGAATCACCTAATTTCTGCCTTCAACTCCTGTTTAATTCCAAGCCAAAACCCACCTCGAAATGTCTCAAGGGCCAACTGCTCCTAAAAATCGCGTTCAACACCACCCCTTCCAGCGCTGCGCCTGCTGGCAAGGTGAGGCAGATGGCTTTTATTGATTAATTTATTTATTTGGAAGGGGCTACTTGAAGTCAGGAAATTCCAGCGAGACAGAGCGAATTCCCCTGGCCAGAATTGCCGTGACAATCATAAGCAGACACCCAGAGAGAGACGGGCTAAAAGAAATTGCAGCTAAGCCCCAGGAACCTGGGGCATTTTCCATCTCTCTCCTGTCCCGGCCTCCATGTCAGCCGTGCACTTAGGAAGAAATACCTTGTTTGGTTCACCATTCTGTGGTCTTCAAGGGTTTGTGTGAGCTATGTAGGGCCTGCTTTGTCAAAAGGGCTTCACAAACCAAACAGGCCTCAGACTTGGCCCTCATCCTGAAGCCCTCGTTATACAGACAGACCCAAACAGACATTCCTACTGCCTTAATGCCTAGCACATAAAGTCCTCTTTAATAAACATACCCCATTTTTCAGTGGAACAGCCTCAAGGTGTCAAAAGTACATAAAGGTCTGAAAGCTGAAACCCTAGATAAACAGTGCGCCGAAATATATTTAGCAGAAAATATTGAAAGCCACAGGAAAAATATGTTCTCTTCCTGGGATGTTAACGAAGGTTTAGGTTCAGGAAACCTTCAGGAAATAGCAAGTTGGGTTGAGAAGGAATATTGCTCAATGTAAATAAATCACTAAACCTCTTTGGCCTCCATAGGCCTTGGCTGGAATGGAGTATTTCATTTCTTCCCCATTAAACAGGCCACCCGGAGAGTTGGCATTATAGACCTGAACATGGACCAAATCTGAATGTGCTGTTTTGTTTCTGTACATTGAATCAGACTGTGTTTCAAATAGCAGCTTGTGCAAAATGGGGGGCCAGCCATCCAGACTGGTGCACCCTCACTCTTCGAGTAAATGACAGACCTGTTTCACCTTGGATCACCCAGTGTTTTATCTCCCACAGGAACATACCGTCTGTTGTTACTCAGGATGATGTCATGCTCATTCTAAAGTCCACGGTTCTAAGGGACTCGGTTGCCTCTGCTGTAATAAGATGCCTTTAGAAAGACCCAGATTTCCTGCAGTCTCAGGGTAGGGAGAGAGAGAACAAGGAAGGGCAGACAACCGCTCTCCCTAAGATGGATGCTGCATGATGTAAGTGGCTGGCTAAAATATCTGGCATCCTTGCAGTTTTAAGTTGCCAGCTAAATATTATTAAAAAGATAAAATTCATGCAAACTGTGCAGAATGTAGGGCTGCTGTGTTTACATCCGGGTTTTGATGACTCAAAGACTTACACTTGGGCTTGCTGAAAAGCTCTATTAAAAACACAGCTTTGTGAAGGCCCCCAGGGAGCAGGAAGCAGGGCTGGGGGTGGGGGTGATTGTCTGGGTGGGGGGTGGGGGTATGGTGACCCGCCCAAGGACGGTGGTCCCGGCTAGCACTAAGGCCAGGGAAATGTTTCGAGGTTAACCTCCTCTGGGCTTCAGAACCAGAGCGGGGAGGGTTAACCTTTTTCCAGAACATTTATTTCACCATCTCACTGACTAGAGGGAGGAGGGGCGGGAGGGAAAGCGAGAGCCTGCCGCGCTGAGAGGCTGCGGATCACAAGGCCATTCTGATAGCCTCCTGTCCCCATGGCAACTGCCACGGCATTTATCAGTTCCTTCTGCGCACAGGCACAGCAAATCTGCATTGCACATGGCAGGCTTCCAGCATTTCAAATGAAAGAGCACTTTGAACGGCTGCCAAGTTTGGAAGGAGCAGAACTGTCAGGGCTGCTTAAAGCTGGCAGTTTATACTGGGGAGGCTTTCGCTTCCCAGAATCCTCCGGGCCTGGCGAGCTGCCAAGTACTTAGCGGAAGCTAAAAAGTAACTCGCTCTCCTCCCCTCCCCTCTTTCCCTCCCCCCCCCCCCCGGCTCGCGCTCCCCCTCCACGCCATTCACCGCAGTGCTCTCAAAATTTTCCACATGTCCTGTGTCACCAGTGCAGACTGTACAATGAAAACCAGAACGCCGGCTGCCCACGACCGGGTTTTTATTAATAATTGGGGGGGGGCAGGTTGTGATCAGACACTGACAGCCCGGTCTCCGCTGTACCTGCTGTAACCACTGGGTGTGAACCTGTGGGGGGTGTGTGTGTGTGTGTGTGTGTGTGTGTGTGTGCGCGCGCGCGCCTTTCAGCCTTAAAAATACATTAATAAAAATGATAGCAGCTTCAGAACTATAAACACCCTGAGAACCGGGGTCGGGGGGTGGGGGTCGGGTGCTTTGGGGCTTCATTTAGCGTGGGGAATGGAGGTCATGCGGGGAGCGTTGTTCAGATCCAGCCTTTCCAAGAGCCCTGAGGAAGAGGGTTGTTAGTGCGAATTGAGCCTGTGTCTGGAGCTTTCCTTGAATCTCTCTGGTGTCATGGTGAAAGCTCTGAGGCCACCGATGGGGAGGGAGTTCGGAGATGGTTTTCAGTGGAAAGTTTACCAGATGACTTCTGACCATCACGCACAGACCAGACCACAAGGGCTTCTACTAGCAGAAACTGGAAATTGGCATAGTGTTCACTGTGCAGAATTTTTTTTAAAAAAATCATAATCTACACTGAGATCAAGGGCTTGGGCTTTATTTTCCAGCACAAATAAAACGAAAATTGTCTGCCGCTTAGGCGGTTGGATAGAGTTCAGGAAAACTATGTCTGGCATTAATTCCAAAGTGGAGGTTTTGGTTCAAGTGAGGCCCATTAATTTCAGTAAACTGTTTTCACTAGTCCAGACCCTGCTGTGTAAGGACTATTTATTACCTTTTGCTAACCTGATGTCTGCAGCCTTGTAAAGCAAAGGGAAAAAAAAATCCAGGGTGGAGATATCTATATCTTGGATCAAATGGGTTTTGCACCTTCCCTTTGGGGGCCTTGTTTTATGGGGCGTTTTCTATCCTTGGTTTTTCTTTATCAGCCACAGTTTTTAACAAATCCATTTGCAATGAATTAGAGAAAAAAATCCTGATGGAAAGGAATCTGGTGAGAGGAAACACCTATCTCTTGCCTCCTTCAGGAGGGCACCTCCCAGCTGCAAGGACATTCTGCGTGCCTGGCCCTGGCTGCCAGGCTGCAGGTTCGGTGCAAAGCCCTGACATGATTCACCCTGACGATCAGGTCTAAAATACACCAAGACACTCAATTTTGGCATTTGTCCTCCCTTAGGAATTTTACTAGCTGCCTTAGAAAAGCACATAAATTGCTTCCCCCCTCCCTCTCTTTTTTCCATGCCTCCTCTCTTCACAACCACCCCCAAGTCCATCTTGATGTCATTTCAAAGAGAAGGATGAAAAGGGGGGATTTGTCAGTCAGGTTTGTGAATGTGTCTTTCCAGCCCCCAACACACACACACACACACACACACACACACACACCAGCTGAGAATGTTAATCAGAATTAAAAGCCAGTCAGTACTATTAAAGCCTCAAACATGAAGACTTAGAGAAGGAGGGGGGAATATAGGGGTGGGGGTAGAGGGAGTGGAATGAAATATAATTCAGTCCTCTGCGCTGACTTACTGAAATAAAAGAGGGGAAAGGTAGCACCAACTTGTGTCAAATGTCAGAATTATTGTTCTTCCCTTTTAACTACCCCCCCACTCCCCCCCTCCACCCCGCCCCAACACAGTCAAGTTTTGTGCTTTTCCAAGTGTGATTAATCTCTGGCAGAGGCCAGAAACAGGAGTAGGTTTCTTGGCTGCCCGTTCTGATAAACAATCTGTTCTTGGGAAGAGTAGGTGAAGGGGGCGTAAAGGGGGGTAATCTAGGGGATAGGGGTAAAAGGAGGAGAGGAGGGGGCGCCCGCGGCCAGCCCCGCTAACCTAGCTGAGGCCGGCCCTCCCGGAAAATGCAAGTGCCCTTCCTTTTGAGCGCGTGGTTTTGGGGTGGGTCAGGTTTCCTGTCCTTAAGAATGTGAGCAGACAGTGGATCCATTCTTGCTGCGAGTTCACAACGTCCAGGAAACGTCGGAGGGCCACCGAGGACCCGAGGAGGGGGAGGAGCAGGAGCGGGGAGAGGAGCCTGCGCGCCCCGAGGCTTCGGACTCATTTGGAAGGCTCTGGGCGTTGCAGACCACCGGCTCGTGTGCACAGGCTGCTTGCCGGGGGAAACCGAGGCAGCCGCGGGGAAGGCTGGGTGGGGCGGTGGTGGTAGGAAGTATCGTAAAGCGGAACAGGGAAAGCCAGAAGAGGTTCAAAACAAAAGGAGGGGCTCTTGCGCGGCGTCGGTGGTCGCTGGTATCCAAACTGCAGGCAAGAGAGCTGGCTGTGGATTTTGCAGCGGGTTTATTGTGCGGGCAACCAGGCAGAAAGAGGCAATATGAAAAAGTGGGGAGGGGAGAGTACGCCTGAAGGGAAATCAGTGCCGAGAAGTCTGCGCAGGGCTGGGAAATGTCACCAAGGAGAGTGCAGTGGCACCAAATAAAAGATGAACAATCGGCTACCGTTTGGAAAAGGAATGTAAAGATATTAATAAAGGCAAGAAACCCGCTTCTTCTCAGCCTAAAAAGCAAATCCATTTCTCACCTCCTGCCTCTCCTCCCCACCCCAACACACACACACACACACACACACACACACACACACCCACCCTCTTGTCTACCCAGAATCCAAGAAGCCTAGGCCAGGCTCGCTTTCCTTTGGATTTAATTATATGAAAACGCAGAACAAAACCCTGTAATTACACCCTAAGTCCCTGCCACTCAGGCCCAGCACACTTCCTGCTGAGTTTTGTTTTTTAAAGAAGAGGTCATTGCCTCTTCTCTTTCCAAATTGACCAAAACAAAAAGTAAAAGCCCCACATAAATCCAACTGCTGCAAGCTTCAGCATCACAGGGGATTTGAGGATGGGAAATCCTTGTCCAGCTGGGAGAGATGAGAAGACAGCCTCACCTTGCTATTGTCTTGCTCTAGCTCTTAGGTCCAGAACCAGTTACTGCCTGTTTGTCCATCAGCCCAGAAAAACAGCGATGCGAGCCTGGCCACCCCAGGAGAAACCCTGTAAGCATAGGATGAAGAGTGTGGACAGGCCTCAGCATCAGGCCTCGCTTTCCAGCTATTTTACCCAGAAGACCTTAGTGCTGGAAAAGAGATTTGTGACAATGGCTTGCCTTTCGACAGCCCCAGGCATTAACATACAGGATTTCACAGTAAGCCCCTGAAGTAGGGAGAACAGGTTTTAATATGAACACTTGACAGGTAAGGAAACTGAGGCCCACAGAGAATAACTAGATTGCTCGAAGGCAGTCATGTGGCTGGTGGGAGAGTTGTACAAGTACTGTCTCTAATGA